GCAAATATTAGGATATGCAAAGTTGGAGTAAAATCGAATTATCCTTCCTCTCGCGGTGCAGTAAATTATATTCTTTGAAAATGTTGACATTTTGTGGGGGAGGTACCAGAAGTAGTGGACCGATATTGCCCATCGCCGAACTCGATCTAAGTTTGACAATAATATTACGATGTACCAAGTTTGGATCATATCGGATACTGCCTTCGAGAGTTATAGTGCGTGCCAGCTAGACAGGCGGACGGAGGGATGGACGTCGATAGGTCGACTCCAAATGCCCTGAAATGAATTTGGTACAAAGAAACCTATGGTCTAAAACCGTTATATGGATGAGGCACATTTTGGCCATATCAAATGATATATACCCTCTGCAGACATATTTCTGACTTTATAAAAATATATAATAATCCAATGTAAGGCAGTCATTGAATTTCCATACATTTTTGCGATCACACGTGCTTACACACACACATGTGTGAGAATATATTCACATTTTTTTTTTTTTCTAAAATCTTAATAAACAATTTTTTTTTATTATTACAGTAGATTTTATGTCTTTCTCTCAGCTCAATATTTCACTTGAATCTGGACGGACGTTCCTCGACCCACAACCGGCCTTTTTATTCGCAATAAATGAAATCTTGTTGTTGTTGATGTCGGCGGCTGTGTCGTCGTTGCTTTTGATTAAAATACCCAAATGAATTGTATTTGAGGCACATTGGCTGCCAAGGGGGTGGGGTAAACTCAAAGGTAATGCGGCTGTGGCTATTTGGAAGCTGTGTGTACTCGTTTTTATTATTGTTGTTGCGGTTGTTACTGGAAATGATTCAAAATTAGAGATTTGTGGTCAAATATTCTAGAGCACATGTTCGGAGGTGGTGGTGGCGACAGCGTTGTCGGTAATTATAGCTAGCGTCGGCACCCAAAATGTAGGTGGATACATGAATATAGGCTTTAACGAAAGTGTAATGAAAAGTTGGAGCACATTTATTTGTGTTGTAAGCTAAAATTCCGAGGGGAGGCTCGACTTCAACGATGTTTTAAGTTTTTTTGATTCTGCAATTATTGATTCGAAGATCGAATTTGTTGGTAGCCTCCACCAAATTATGGAGGGTATATTAATTTTGTTATTCCGGTTGTAACTCCTCCAAAATACACATGAACTCATGGCCGGCGCTTGAGTTCTGGTGGCCAACCGAAGGTGAACATTTTCAGCTGACCTCTTTGGCAAGTATCGATCAGTTTGTTTATTTACGAACTGCTGGACAATGAATGTTTTCTCATCGGAGAAAACCAAATTCGGCAGTTCACCACTTTCGTCCAAGCGAAGCAACTCTTTCGCCCTTTTAAGTCTATTTTCTTTCCGTTGCGGTGTAAGTTCTTGCACTTTTGGAATTTCAATGGCTTTACCCCGAGCTCATTTTTCAATCATTGCCGAATGGAATTTCAAATTTCTAGTCTATTCCTTCCTCAAATACTGAAGTCATAACTATTTAGTTCACGCCATGATCCTAATGCCAAATTTTAGACCTCCGACTTAATCCCTTATCCAAATTTAGTACAATTTTGTAATTTTTGAGTACGTATTTGCAGAACCGTCTCTAAGTTTCACCACTACACAAGAACAGTGACCTAATGCCTAATTTCAGATTTCAGGCAGTCTCCGTTTACGCAATGCCAAATATAGTAACACTTAGTACCTTTCGTACGCTTGATGAGCTCATTTCCAGACCCACCTCTTTATCTTAGCCCTACCCACCAGCAGAGACCGTTGAACCAAACCCAAATAGAACCGAATTTAGTACACTAGTTCCCAAACATAATTTTACCCTCCACCGTAGTATAGAGGGTATTGAAGTTTGTCATTCCGTTTGATTGTCTGTCTGTGGAAATCACTCTAGCTTCCGAACGAAATGAAGTAGGTTGATACAATTTTACTCAAATGTATATTATGTTTGCAGGACTTTCGGTAATGAAAATGGGTCATGTAGGTACACGTTTTGGTATAGAGGTACTATTATATGGACCTCCCTATTTTCGGTATTTTGGTTATTTAAACGACATTTTTCACCGGAATCGTTTCAAATTTGGTATTTGAAGTTCGTAATGGATACTACAGCCTATGACAAAAATTGCCTGTGCAGTTCCACGCCTTTCTATAGCCCCCATATAATGGTACCTCCCGATTTTCGGTATTTTGGTGATTTAAGCGACATTATTCACCGGAAATGTTTCAAATGTTTGGTATTTGAAGTTCGAAATAGATTCTACAGCCTTTGACAGAAAATTGTGTGTGCAGGTCAACGTCTTCGTATAGCCCCCATATAATGGTACCTCACGATTTTCGGTATTTTGATGATTTTAAAGGCATTATTTATCGGAATTGTTTGAAATTTCCTATTTCCTGTTCGTAACGGGTACTACAACCTGTGGTCCTGGTCTTCGCATAGCCTCCATATATTCGACATTTTAATAACTTTAACGATATTACCAATCGGAATTGTTTCAAACTTCGTGTTCGAAATTCGTATTGATTACTACAGGATTTGACGAAAAAATATTTATGCTGGTCCACGTTCTCGTATAGCCCCCATATTACGGTAGCTACCTATATTCGGCATTTTGTTGATTTTTGCGACATTATTCACCCGAATTGTTTTAAATTTCATATTTCTAGTTCGTGACAATAGTATCCGTTGCTTATGCAGGTCCAGATCTTCGTATACCCACAATATAACGGTACCTCCCGATATTCGATATTTTGATGATTGCAACTTTATTTACCGGAATTGTTTGAAAGTTTCGCATTTTAAGTTTTTTTTTCTATGAAAATTTCTACATTTATTCAAAGTTCGACCTGACCAAACTTAGCGTTTTTTTAATCTTTTCAAATGTTGGTATTTTGAGTTCATATTATTTAGAGACGTTAATAACAAGAATTAATGAAAAAAGGTCCACGTTTTGGTATAGCCCTTACATGGGATCAGCCGATGCACCCAAAACGAATAATGCGCATGGACTGCGCATGGCGCTATGTTGACGAATTTTTGTTTTAAAACAAAAAAAAAATCAAGTAACTTTTTTTGTGGCAGGTAAATTAAAAACTTGCACTTTAACGAGTGGCACTTAAAGAATAGACTTTTGTCAAAAAGTGGAGGAAACTCGTTTTTTTATATTTTTTGGTACGAATTATAAAAGTTGCAGTTAAACGAGTGCCAGCTAAATCCAAATTAAGGTCCACGTTTTGGTATAGCCCTTACATGGGGTCAGCCTATGCACCCAAAACGAATAATGCGCATGGGCTGGCCGTTACGCCATCGCAATATGTTGAACAAGTTTTTGTTTCAAAAAAAAAAAAAAAATCTAGTAATTTTTTATGGCAGATAAATTAAAAACTTGGACTTAAACGAGTGGCACTTAAAGGATAGACTTTTGTCAACAATTGGAAGAAACTCGATTTTTTTATTTTTCGTGCGAATTATAAAAGTTGCAGTTAAACGAGTGGCAGCTAAATCCAAATTAAGGTCTACGTTTTGGTATAGCCCTTACATGGGGTCAGCCGATGCACCCAAAACGAATAATGCGCATGGACTGGCCGTTACGCCATCGCGCAATGTTGACCGAGTTTTTGTTTCAAAAAAAAAAAATTCTAATAATTTTTTATGACAGGTAAATTAAAAACTTGCACGTAAACGAGTGGCACTCAAAGGGTAGACTTTTGTCAAAAACCCAATTTTTAATGTTTGTCCAGAATTATTAAAGTCGCATTTAAAAGAGTGGCAGCTAAATGCAAATTAGTGTTCATATACATTTTTTTCATTTTTTATTTTTTTCTCACTCTGTGCACTTGATCAGAACCAAATATTGACTTCCATCAATTCCGCTGAGTTCTATTTCAATTTCCAATTAAAAAAAATAAAACAAATCACCTGCAACATTGTTCGAAGCATCGAAGAATGTTCAGTGTCAGTTATGTGAGACGTTTCATTTTTGATTTTTTTTTTGTATTTCCGTAAATAAATCGGAAAGGGAATCCCCTTAAGCCCCATGGCATTAATGCGAGCAACAAAACAAAAAAAGTAAATTCCATAACACAAAAACAAAACTGATACCTAGGCAGTCAGCGAACAGTCGGTCCGTCAGTTCAATCGATCGATCGTTGAAGAGTCAGCGGCATTTTACAATTCTAAATGGTGATCATGTTTTTTTTCTGTCTGTTGTTCGATTAAAGAAAATCCAGTTTGTTAATATTTTTGTTGTTTTTGTTTCTATAGATATGTCGATATATTTGCTTGTTGTTGTTGCTTTTTGTTGCGGCATGATGATCGACTGCTGCGTCAATCCATAATTACACGGAAATCTCAGTTGGAATTGAATGGTGTTGTTTCTTGTCTGTTGTCTGGCTGCCTGATCATGCCTGCCTACCTCTAGAAAAGCTGCTGCCATCCCGCTTAGCTCTGCTTGGCCTGGTGACTGCACCTGAGCATGTGTGTATGATTGGGTTGGTCGGTCAGTCGTTCGTTCGTTTACTGGTTCGTTCAAACATATCCAAATTGTTGCTTAAAATATTCATTTCAAGTCGCCTGCGATCATGCCCTGGCGTTCACTATGTGAGTGGAGCTGTAGACGTTTGGTCACAGGTATATTTGGTATCGAACAAAAGCCAGAAAAGAAAAAAACGTAGACGTTCTTAAATTAACGAAACTCTGAGCGGTAGGTTTGTTTTTTCTTCGTTGGATCCCAACGACAAAAAAACGACCGACGTCTGTCCTTGTTGTCCGAACAAAGTCTGGTGATAAGTTTGATTCTGTCTGTTTACCATTTTAACGGGCAGAGAACGTTGACGTCGTCGTCGTCAGCTTCGTTAATTTAAGAGGCAATTTACCTGTCACACTTGTCGCGAGAGTGTTAACGTCAACGGTGCGTAAATGTAAAGTTTGGCTATTTGTTGTTGACAAAACATGTGTGTTACGTCTGGCTCTCACTCAAAGAGACAGAGAGAGTGACTGAGAAAAGAGTGTTCATGCATGAGAATGATTGACGATCATGGCTGTGATTTCTTCCAACCCAGCCAAGACATTTGTCGTCTTTGTGTGCGTCGCTGTTGCATCGCTGCCTTCACTGTTGGCGTCTGCGTCGCCGTTGTTTCGTTTAAAGTTTAAACTTAGCTTAGCTAAATGGCTTAACTCGCCAATATTTAGTCGCACGCCTAACGTTGACATTCATTGTTGTGTTGTGAAACTTAAACGCTTAAAAACACAATAGCCGCCAAAACGAAAAGAAAAAATAATTGAAAAAAATAAACATTAATTTTTGTACGGCCGGATACAATTGGAAATGTAAAGAATTATATTTTCTTTTTTTGGATTTTGTGAAAAAAATTAAAATAAAAAAATATTTAAAAAAATTTTAAATGAAAACTAAATTTAAAAAAATAATAAAAAAAAAAGTGACCTATCTTTCCTTTGCTAATTCATCATCTCTTCTTTCCATCTCCCCTATAATTTCAGTGTTGATTAACCAACGACAGTAAAAAATAAAAGAAAACCAAACGATAACGCTTACAAAATTTATTTTTTGGAATAGTTTAAAAATAGAAAAAAAAAAAAAAACAAAATAAAATAAAAAAAATTACTGGAATCTTCAAAAAAAGAAAAAAAAAAAGACTTACAAAAATGCTTCAAAATCCCACTACACCGATTATTAAGTGATTACAACCTCACATACAAATACACGCAAACACAAATTAGATATAAAAAACAAAAATAAATATATTTAAAAAAATAGAGAGAAAAAAATAGAAGAAATAAAAAATAAACAAAAAAAATATATTTACAATATATTGGAAACCCAACAAACAACGTTGAAAAATAGTACAAAAGACAAAAGCTCGACTCTCAGCATCCATCACCGATCAGAAGACAGTCTTTCAATTGTGTCCCAACGTCCTGTTCGATTTGCTGCTGCGTTTCGTCATAATTCACACCGTTTTGGATTTTTTGCAAAAAAAAAAAAACCGAACTTAAACAGAAAAGAAAAAGGTAAATATTTTCACAATCAATTAAGCAAAAAAAAAAAATAGACAGCCAGACCGGACCGAAATGGTCTTTAGAATGTTCTATGATTAAGAAAAAGAGACAAAAAAAAACTCACCAAGAGTTCAGTGAATCAGCAGAATTGTTGGCAGGTATACAAAAAAAAAAAAAGTATAGAAAAAACAAATAAACCTACTTCCATACATAAATAGTTATTAGAATTTAAAAATACACATTTGGTAGCTATGCTAAGTTCCATTTGAGTGAGTTTTGGCGGATTTTAGTTTCGATCAGGTTTTCTGTCTTTGGAAAGTTTTTTTTTTACCCTATACCACAGGGTGGTCAGGGTATTATGTCTTTGTGCATTTGTAACAGGCAAAAGAAAACGATAGGATAGAGCTATAGTTCTTTTTGATGATCTGCATAGAATTACATTCGGAGTCTATTTATTTAGTTGATGAAAAACGCCACTTATTATGAAAGAGAAGGCAAAAAATTAAAGACGCGTGTATTTGCGTTGGAAAGTTCCTTTTGGTGGGGGTATCTAAAATCTATACCCCTTTCCAAAGCTTTTTTCAATACTCCGCTCAAAATTCCTTTTTAATCTCGAAAAGTATATTTTTAACCCACAATCGAATTTTTAAAGATAATTTTTGGTCCAATTATCATCAATGGGTTATAGATATAAATATGTCAAACCTAACAGAAGCTTGAAAAAACATTTAAATTCGAAAGCCTACCTAGGGTTAATGTCGTATCAAATATTAGCAAGTGCCCGCTACTTTATCACCAATACCAAATTTAGTACTTTTCGTACAAATTAAAGGTCAAATTTCCAAAACAATCGCCAAAACTCAAACGCAGATATATTATAGCACACATTTCGAAAACCACATCTTCCTATCTCAATTCCAGATAACAACAGAGACCTCAATATACAATTTTGAGGATTAAGCTTCCAAACTACCGCCAATTCTCAACATCAGATACCAAGTGTTATCTAAATATCAAATTTAGTACTATTTGGTACTTTTGGTACAATACACATTCCCAAAAGCACATTATTTTGATTCCAGATACAAAAAGAGACCTCAATATAAAATTTGAGGATTTTAGCCCTATCTCTTGGGCCAATACCAATTATAGTACAGATTCTCAAAACCACCTCCATATCTTAATTTCAGACACCAACAGAGATCTCAATATAAAATTTGAGGATTTTAGCCCTATGCCTTTACCCCATACCAAATTTGGTACCATTTTATACTCTTCGTACAAATAAAGGACGCATTTCCAAATCACCGCCAAATCTTAAACTCCAACAGTAAAATATACATCAAACTTCGGGGTTCCAGCTCCTTCCCTTCAAATAACTAAATTACTTAGTATTTTTCGTACAATTGTAGTACAGATTTCCAAGAGGATTCCAGCTCCATTGCTTCACTCAATACCCAATTTAGTGCCTCTTAGTACTTTTTTAACAATTATAGTACACATCTCCCCAACCACATCCATTTCTTAACCACAGACACCAACAGTGCCATACATATCAAATTTCAAGATTTCAGCTCTATTCCTTCACCCAATACCGAATTAATAATTTTTAGTACTTTTCGTACAAATAAAGATCAAATTTCCAAACCACCGCCAAAACTCAAACACAGATATATTATCGTACAGATTTCCCAAAAAAACTTCCATATCTCAATTCTGGATACCAACAGAGACCTCAATATAAAATTTGATAATTTTAGCCCTATCTCTTGACCCAATACAAAATTTTGTACCATTAAGTACTTTTCGCACAAATATAAGACATATTTCCTAACCACGGCCACATCTCAAACAAAGATAACACCTAGCTTAAGATCTGCAGAACTTCTCTTACTATATACAAAAGATCAACCGATTAATCCTTAATAGAAAATTTCTCAATATCACCCCTAAAGCCACAATTTCTGAAGCGTAAAAAGAAATTCTAAAACATTTTTCCATATATTTAAGGAGATTTGGATAAATAATGCTAAAATATGTATGTATGTCTGGATTTACAAAAAATCTACCAATTTATAAATTTGTTGTTTATATTTCAAAAAAAAAAAAATAAATGGAACCAGTTCTGTTTTTTTGCCCTCTGGCTATGTTTATTTCTTGTCCCAAAAGCCCCCCCTTCAGAGAAATAGAAATAAAATCAAATCAAAAACGCAACGAAATGAACTGAACTGAAATTATTAATTAGATGCTAATCATATGCATATCATTACAACGTGCCTAAATTGGATATTTCGAATAAACTTTCCCATAACCTGTTTAATATTCGAAAAACATTTTGGCCCAGCAACAACAACAAAAAAAAAAAAAAAACAACACCGAAAAATACAAATCTCTTTAATTCGGTCAAAGACTTGTTGGTTTTTTTTTTGTTTCTTTTAAATGTCACCATACTTAGCTCAGCATTATTAATAAATTTCGAACTATTTTTTACCACTGGATTTGCTTTAAGAATTTTTTTTTTTTAACAAATGTCTATAATGATTTGGATAATGTTCTTTGCAAACTATATGGAATAGGTACCAATAAAATTAATATTCGAAATTTGTATTATAAAGCATTTATTTCTATTGTTTATGCCAAATTTTAATGCAAGATATCCCAATTATCTTTTTAACCTTTAAATAATAAAATTTATTGAATTTATATAAAATTACGTTTTATTTTTCGGTTAAAAATGGTAATAAAATTCAACTTTTTTAAAAAACTCGTTTAAAAGTAATTTTCCATTTTTGTGGCAGCTCTTTCTTCTACATAACGAGATTTTATTAATTTGTCGATATGCATATTCATTTAGGCATTCAGCCACAAAAAATAAATTTTATTAAAAATTAAAAAAAAGAAAAAAAAATGTAAATGGTCAACTGGTTCAGAAGGTATGCATGTCTTCATCACATGCTTTCACAGATTCCAGAAACGAAAAGTTATTCACAAATATTAATTTATTTGAAACTGGTATATCGTGGCAATTTTTAAGCTTTAGATGGGTTAATATGGATGACAGTTCCACTCATTATATGCTATGCGTTATTCTCCCAGCAAAAATGGTTTTGGACTTTTGCCCCTCAGAAGAACGGTTTTAAAAAATGTATAAACTTCGATAAAAATTTCGGTTTGAATTCATTTATATAAAAAAAGTAAATTAAATTGCAAATGCAAAATTCATTTCCAAAATATTCTTTTTATAAAATATTGTAGTTTTACCAGTAATAGATATTGTCTGCCTATTCTCTCTTCTTTTTTTTTCGTTTTGATTATAAATTCTTAGTTACTCTCATACACTTACTCTCAAATTAGTTATGCACTGATTGAAAGGCCTGTTGCTTTCTGTGCCTCTCTCTCTCTCCTTTTCCCTCGATCATGAAGGTCTGTCCTTACTTGCCTGGGCGGAGTTTGTCTATCCTTCAGATGATGGTGATTGGGAAGGTTTTTTATACCCTCAGCTATATGGCTACAAAAACGATTTTAGACCTTAGGTCTCTTTGGACCCAATCTGTTTCAGGACATTTGGAGTAGATCTAGCGATGTCCTTCCGTCCCTCCGTCTGTCTGTCTGGTGCGCACGATAACTCTTGAAGGGAGTATCCGATTTGATCCAAACTCGGTACATCGTAATATTATTGTCAAACTAATATCGAGATCGGAGATGGGCTATATAGGTCCACTCCTTCTGGTACCACCCACACATAATGTCAACATTTCCAAGAAAATAATTTTTCTGTACAAAAAGAATCGAATAATCCGATTTTGCTGCAACTTTGGGAACCCTAATATTTGCATCAGTGCTAGGTCAGGTGCGAAAATCGACAATATCGGCAGAGGTTCAAATCTTTGAGTAATTATAACTCTTAAAAAAGGTGATGTAAGTATCCGATTATCGTCAAATTACACACATCACAATATTTTTTTTAACCAAAGGTCTGGTGTGAAGTTGGAGTATATCGGTCCATTTTTTCTGAATATTCATGAAGCTCATAAAACACGAAATTGACATCCGATTCCATTCAGACCTGGCACATCTCAATATTTCCATAAACACATGATCTGTTATAAATATGGTATAGATCGGACAATTCCTTCGGAATTGTGATCTGTTATAAATATATAGATCGGACAATTCCTTCGGACACCTTTCTCACATAGGGTTTAAAATTTTTGAAAAATATAATCATCAAATACAATCACCTGCATCTGTTATTAACTCAATGCCGCCTGGAGGGCATGAAATGGCAAAAATGTAAAGGTTATAGTGTTAGATATCATCCCTCCTTGGTAAATTCACTCTTTCATCCTACGCAAATTCGACTTCTTATTTCAGAATTCCACAAACGACTGGCGTCCACACATGTAGTTGACGACCCAAAGGGCTCAATGTCCTCAGACAGTAGGACGTGCTTGACAATATCAAAAGTTTTTGATAGATCTAGCGCCACCCTAACTATTCTTTTGCATGGCCTATTCTGGTTGAGCTCTCTGCTAATATGTCATATTGTTCGTCCATTTGGTGGTCGGGGATTCTGTCTTATTTATGTTAACGTAGCCCTTAGCGATTAATCCAAGTTATATACTTTATGTAGATTCAATATAAATCTTTATATGGCTTTACTCGGCTTAAGTCCATATTATGATATAGGCACCTGTTAGAGTTCTCGTCCTAATATTGGTGTTTCAAGACGCTTACGATATTTTTACCGTATATGGCTGGAATTAATATTTTCTAATACGGTAAGATATAAAACAGCTCACTCCGATTCAGATAACCCCTGTTTCTTCCTGTTGAATGGATGTGAATCTGGTATAGTGGACTATTTTTCCTTTGTCTGAGAATGTATTCTTCCAGAAATTGTGTTCTTAGAAATTGCGTTGTTCTCAAGGACCATAAGGCCTATACTCATAACTCAGACTTTAAATTAATAAACTCTCCTTCCTAATACATCACAATAAAATGTTCAAATA